TAATATTATACAATGTAAATAACAATACGAAATTCAGCAGGCAAAGTTATTTGACAACATAAATATACCTGGTATTATCGCAGTTTCCGTAGCAGCTCTTACACAGCAGTGTGCATGGCATACCCTCTCGTCTGCAAGAACATCGGCCTCTGCAGCTGTTCTTGCATCCACACTTCACCAGCTCTCGTGCCGCCTCCCAGATACTGGGCTGAGTTGTCCATAATGGCTGCCATTCTCCTTCGGTTTGAGTCCATCCACAGTCAGCTGGGGAAGGGATAACCCCTGAGGGATCAAGAGCTTGTCCCCAGATGAAGCCTGCTTGATAGGCTGCCCTCAAAGTGTGCATCCTTAGAGCATCCCTCGTAGGGGGGATATTTTGCAATGACTTGTTTTTGGAGAATAAAATCTTGCGGGCTTCGTTAACTGAACGAATTTCAGTATCACCACAGTATAACATGATGACGTATTTTTCTATTTTTGTCATCAAATCATCTGTCACTTCTTCCAATGGATTTGAAAGTGCTCTAAAAGCTGATGTGGCCTCGAGATGTTGCTGCCACGCTTTCCAGGTCAGTGTTTTGCCTTTAGAATAGAAAGCAGAAACGGTGTCACAGCCTGTGAAGGCATGGTACCCTCTCATAGCTTCTGCTTTGTCTTCTCCCAGAACCTGTGCCAAGTCATGTGCAGGTATATAGCTGTGGTGTTTGCCCGTTCCAAAAGATATCCAGAGCTCATGGAGACCTAACTGCTTAAGGGCGAAGAAGTATGATATGGCAATTATGACGACGTCGGAATCTACGGTGTGTATAATAATTCTTGTCGCTCCATTGATAACCATAACAATTTTTTATTTTATAAATATAAAATATATTTGCTTATTTTTTATCATTATTTTATTTACTCCGTCTTTAACAAACTATACATTCCAACGTAGAAGATAATAGTTAATTTGCGAAAAATTTTTTTTGGGGTACATACTGTTAGAGAAGTATACGTAATGTATATATTTCTAAAAACTAGATAGTATGAGCTTGATAATACTATTTTTTTCATCACAAAATCGATCTATTTATTAAGGTAAATATATTTAAAAGAAAAAAAAACTAACTTTAAAATTTACTTTTTTTCGAAAATTATTGACTTTTTGTACAAAAGTATCTCTAACTAACCTTAAAAACGGATTCCCCGTACTCTTCTTATGCGAAAACGATACCAAACACGCCTTTGTATGCATAACTGGAGCAGTTATAATTTTTTATTCGAAGCGCGGCGGGTGCAAACTTCCCCCCCCTCCCCCCCTTACCTGCAAGGGAAATCTAGGTGGCTCCACTTCTTAAATCAATCCTTTGGACCTAAAGATCAAACCTGCCAAAGGATATCTTTTGTTCACGAAACGCCGTATAATTTCTCGTAGACCGGCCACTATATGTATTAAAGGTAAAAATTATTTGTTAAAATTAAACGTGATATTTGAACATGTTTTCGTGTCATACTCGAAAAACCTTTTACGCTCAAGTTTCTTACAACATTTTTCAATGCTTTTTGCGAGGAAATAAAACAAATATATAGGTTAATAAAACTAAATATGTATTAAAGGTAAAAAATATTTCTTAAAATTAAACGTGATATTTGAACATGTTATCGTGTCATAGATTTTTATTTGAAAATATTCGTTCTAGGCTCCTTCAAATATTTTTGCCTCTAAAGTTGGCATATTTTCATCAATTTTCAGCGACACATTTAAACCGGCGCCACTTGGCTATGGAGCATCAAAAATTATATTAAAAGCGGTTTAAATTGTAAGTATGAATAAGTTCTAAAGTTATAACGATTATCAGCTGTAAAAAGTTAAATGCAATCATCTTGCACCTATACATGATGACTCATAAGTAAGTATGTATTGCTAGAGGTCGATCCTATTGTATTCACATCAAGTTTACAACGTAATAAAATAATACCATCATCACTACATTTAACATGTGAAGGTGCCTTACAAAAATACGATGATGACAGAAAACTTAATCAATTAATTATGTAATTGATACAAAAAATAGATTCATTAGTCTTCTTTGTTTGCATTGGACATAACCACCACGCCCAATAAAATACGTGCCTGTGTCCATTATGTAACCACAGAATTCACAAAATAAACTGATACAATGTTCTGAGGCGCAAATGAAAATATGCATGTAGATCATGTAAAAGCGCTGCACTTTAAAAAAATATATAGTAATATGGTGCCGATTAATAACGCTACAAATTATTAAAGCTTGAGCGTTAAAAAACTAAATAAATGTTTTGTTCTTACTGGTGTGTCGGTCGCAGAATTAAATTGAAATGTATATTTGCTCTCTGGTTATTAGAACTACTTTGCTTTTCTAAACTGTGTCAAATATGACGCTGTTGCACTGTTAGAAAGTTATATATAAGTATATACGTTTTGAAATTATGCTTTCTTTGACTAGATCTTTAATGCTGCGATGTTACGAACAGAGCATTTATCATTCGTTACTATCTTTATTTGATAAATAGTGGAAAAATACAGTAAAATAATGAATTTTCGAAATTAAAATAAACTTATATGATTTCGTGCTTATTTCTGTTTTTTTATAAGTAAATCTTTTTCTTGATCGATACTTATTATTTTATCTAAAAAATGTGTGAGAGTACCATACCTACCCAAGGTTTCAAATCTAGGTAGCAATTTTGGATTTTTCTTAATTTCCAGTTAGAATCTTGAAAATTTAATCTTTAACAATATTATTAGGATAAAATTTACCAGTACCGATTTCGTGATTTTACAAAATAATTTTAAGGGTTGAAATAATTTATAGATAAACTTGGAATTTGCTCACGACAGAAAATCAGTCTAATAAACATATAATAAATATTTATGAGGACATTGATTAATATGAATACATAAGTTCAAAGTCCAGTGGCTGCATCTATGAACTTATACAATCGTAATCGACGTAACGAAGTTAATAATTGGTTTCTACGATGACGATATTGAAGTTACCAATGCGATCATCATCAGAATACAAAAGAATTACAACTTCGTTTATTATGTGCTCATGAAAGAGAATGAAACAGGTCAAATTGAAATTGAGAAGAATTTCAGAATGCTTATAATTTTTTTTATTTCGTTAATTAATTGAAGAATTTTAATGTATACATAGTACAAAACAAATTCGCTTTCCGATTTCTGTATGCTGAAATCGATTAACTACACAACAGATTTTAACGCGGGTTTCATCTATATACAAAGTGATTCAAGAGAGAGATTTTTATGCATAATACAGGAGCTCGGGGGCGAAACCGCTGGCGGAAATCTAGTATTTATTAAGCCAATGTAATAGTTGAGTGCTGGTATGGAGGGTTCCATTAAGTACACCGACGAACTCAAAGGTTGCGGGATGTTGCTGTATGCGGGCAGCGCAGGACCTATCGTCGAGGAGATCTATGTGCGGTGCTTATACTCAGCAGATGACGTCCTGCAGCTAATGATATCATTATCAATGATGATGAATTGTTGAGTGCCAATAATCAAATTCGGCAGAGAGATTTTTGGTACTTCTAATTGCTCATAAAAAGAATGACTTTAATATTTGCCATAAGCATTTCAGGATTAAACTGAATATTAAGCCGTTCAAGCTTACACTCGACCATTATGAAAATTCGACATTGCATTTTCCTTTTTATTATTTATATTACTTGAAACTGTACCAAAATTTCACACTTAGCCATAGCAAAGCTTGTCACAAACAAAATCTACATAAAATAATAAATACAATAAAGTAAGCTCATAAGATGTTTTTTTTTTTTTGCGGAATTATATTAGAATTTTACTCAGGTAAAATTTCTGATTACTATATTAATTTTTAATCAACTTTAAAGACGAAAAACAAAGGGTATATTCACCTAGTTTTGAAATTATTACTATACAGCTTATTAGCCTGCGATGGTCATATAAGTTTTATTGAAATCGATATAATTTTAAACTTAACGCATATATCAGCGAAAAAAGGTTATTGCGTATTTTGTATTCATTCAAAATTCGAAAGAAGAATTTTCTTTGTTCTTTGTATGTTTTTTATGTAAGTACGAGTAGGTATGTTATTAGATATACACGTGTGTAAATTATAGCGTATGTCTCATGCGTGACCTCAAATTTAAAAAAGTGAGAATTAATACTTATCTTATAAAAGCGACTTATTCAAGAGACTACTATTTTAAAGTTTGATGTCGGTTCTATTTAAAATACCAATACTAGATACCAATTGGCAGATTTTACTATACATATGGTTATGAGCGTAATTTTTTTTTGTTCAATTATGATATCTCAATAATTCCCGATTTGTATGAATAATCCTGAATAAAAACTATTTTATTCATTATGTTATAAAAAATAAATTTCAGGGTTTAGAACTAATTTCCATATTACAGTAAAAGTTGGGCAAAAGTTTCTTATTCCCGGCGATAATAATAAAAATCTCACTATACGTATAATTTTTTTTATTTAAAATTGTCCTTATTGTCATCGTTTAAAAGGTCAGCAAATTCAGATTAATAACCTTATGCCTACACCTACTTGTACCTAAATAACATTTTGAAATCTATCTAGACTGGTATTCTACTGGACATATTAGTTTCAGGTTGGTCTTGTATTAAGTTTTGTAATTCAGAGTGCTAAGCACCACTTTCAATTAAAACATTTTGAATATGTGCGAATTACTACACGATGACGCAATGTTACTATTCAATTCTAAATAAATAGTTCGCTAGTGTCATATCGATTCCAGCAAATTTGGTATGAGTAGCCGCTTACTCATAACGTTGTACACACTACCGATATTACAGATAACAATATTAAATTAACTCTTATTTCCACACCAATAACGACTAAGATATATCGGAGCAAAGCTTCGCTTATTAATTAGTTAGTTTCTCATTTTGCATGATAAATACTTAGTATATTACGGGACTCGGTCGACAACACAATGCAGTTAATTTTGTTATTATTTTGCTTCATCGTATCGTGTTATTGTGCTGTCGAATTCAGTGATCGACCCCGGAACTTTAGCATAGAGTTACTGCATTATACACAGTTGGAAACAGATGGACATGTGGTCATTTCGCCTTTCGGAATATGGACTCTTATGGCAGGTGTCGCCCTGGGAGCAACAGGAAACAGCTACAAACAGTTAGCACATACATTTCTACTGCCCAGAGACAGGAATGCACTCGTCAAAGGATACAGGGACCTGACCTCGACTGTTTTGAACCCAACAACCCAAGGAGTAACCTTATTAAGTACAAACTTTGTATTTCTAGACGATAGCTTCAAAATATTTCCAGAATTTAACAGGATACTACAGATAGATTTTAAGGCTACCATCGATGTTCTAGACTTTCAAAATCCAAACTCAGCTGAAAAAGCCAACAGTAAAATCCAAAGAATAACTGGTAATATCAAGAACGTACTACGTGCCAACGACTTCGCCGAGTCAAGAATGATACTCGTTAATGTAATTTCGTTCAAAGGCTCTTGGGCAATGCCATTCAATAAATCGAATACAAAAGAAGAATTGTTTTACGACGAAGCAAATAAACCTATAGGCCGTGTAAACATGATGTCTCAAAAATCAGCTCTTGCATTTTCAAACATAAGGGAGATGAAATGTTTTGCTTTAGAACTACCTTATGGTAACGACAAAAAATATTCTATGCTATTCCTACTGCCTTATCGTGGGGTAAAAATTAATGAAGCGTACCAGAACTTCGCTAATGTCACCTTTAAAGACATTTTTGAACAACTCGAATATGACGTGGAAAAATTCGGAGATGAGGAAATAGACGTGAAGATACCAAGGTTCCACATCACAACGAATGTTGTTTTGAACAAACCTTTGAATGACATGGGTGTGTTTGATATATTTGAACCTGATAGAGCACGGTTCGATAAAATAACCAATGAAGATATATTCATATCGGGAATCGTGCACAAGGCTGACATCGAGGTAACGGAGGTGGGAACAGTTGCGAGTGCGTCTACAGAGGCATATTTAATTAACAAAATATCTCCACCTTCTTTTTATGCCAATAGACCTTTCATGTATTTTCTGATGGAAAAAACGACAATGACGATGCTTTTTGGAGGTATATACTCTAAGCCGACATTATTTTAATTAAAAATTAATATTCAATAGTACTTTAATTTATGCTCGTACGCTGCGTGTATAAGTATTATCTTTCACTTTTTTTTATGTTTGAAGTAGGTTCTATTTTTATTCGTGCTATTTAGTGATATTGATATATTTTTGTATAATAGATAACACTAAAAATACTTTCCTGAAAACTGCGTCATAAACGTGTTAAAGGGCGAACCTCTATATTTTAGTCCGTTAATATACCTAAAACCTTCTATTCTATATACTATGCTAAAAATTGAGGTAATAAACATCACGGATAATTAATGAAAATTTAAGACTTATATGGACTCATAGATACCATTGCCAGATCTGGACCAAATTGAAATGGGAAGTAACCACACTAATAAAAAAAAGAACTATCAAAATCGGTCCACCCAGTAAAAAGTTATGAGGTAACAAACCGAAAAAAACAGTCGACTTGAGAACCTTCTCCTTTTTATGAAGTCGGTTAAAAAATACATATTTTTACGAGTGTTGAATTTGCGAAATTAAAATAAATTTATATGATATCGTGCTGATTTGTATTTTTTCAAAGTAAATCAATATCTTCATCGGTACCTATACTTACTTAATATTTTATCCAAAAAATGTGAGGAAGTATATACCTACCCAAGGTTTCAAATCTGGGAAGTAGTTAATAGTTAATTATTGGTGATTTAAATATTTCTTACTGAATCAACCAAGTAATTAACACTTAATATCTAAAGAAAAAAAGATAATATCACATTTAATCAATACAATTCAATGTATATTCAAAATAATATAAAGAAATCATTATTCCAGTATCCTTTCAAAGAATAGTATTGTTGTTATTCAACATCGATAGTAAATTACTTTATGTCAATCACTCGTGTAATACTCGTATGTCAAATTAATTTGCCTTAGCACGTTTCTTACGCACTCTAGATATCTGTTACGGTTGAGTGTGATTGGTTATAGTTATATTGGAGCGTTCTGATTGGCATGTTTAAAATGCAAGTGTGTGCATACCTTTTGTATAATAGGGTATTTGACACTATCGAAAATAAGTTGCATTTTGTGGTCATCCTGATAGATAATAATCTAATAAAGCTTATTTCTTAACATCTGCAGAAAAATGTTTAGATTTAGTAAAATAACGTAAAGAAAATGCAATATTTTTAGGAATTTATTCAACGATGAAAACGTCCTATAATTGGTCGTCGTCACAACCAATCACGATTCTGTTTACTGGCCTGTGACGTCATGTCAAAGTAGTGTTACATAAAATATCGATTAGAAAGATACATAAACTATCGATGCGTGTAGGTATCGAGTACTTTATAGTAATTTACTGAAAACAGAATACTTTGCCGCTTCTATTGATAAGAACTGCCAAAAAGAAATACAGAAAAAAGAATCATTTACTAAGACAAACATACTACATGCATGTTTAAAAAAATAGAATATTCTTTTTCGTACTAATGTCTCATCCATCTGTAGGTCGACAGGCTGCAAAGTGCGAGCCTTGTCAACAAATATAAATAAGTCGTAAAATGTTAATGATAATGAAATAACCAAAAAGAAAACCTTCAAATGTATCGATATAAAATAAAAAAGTTTCAATATTTTTAGCAAATCCTTACCTAATTTTATCAACCATCTCTACTCTATATAGCTACTATACTATTGTGATTGTGAATCTATTTTCTTCTAGACTCGAAGTTTGTTTGTTATTTATAGAAGTATTAGTACATTGTGGCACTACGCACCACTTGTAGCTCACTTTTTAAAGAAAACCAGAGCAGAGGAAAATAAAAACGTAAAAAATACGCACTACGACTTCAATTTCTCTTTTATATTATTATTTCAATTTACTCTAGGGATGATCGATATTCATTGATGTTGAATAAACATCAATGTTTTGTCATCGATGTTTTAAATTGGATAACATCGGCACATCGATGTTTTTGTGCCAAACATCGATGTTTATGAATAAAATGTCAAGATACCCTTTAGGCCATCTAACGTGCTCCAGATGTACTAGCTAGATGATCTCGTATATCAAATTCAACTATTTTATACTAGATGTCACCGGTTGCACTCGTAACTGGAGTACGCAAACAAATAGTTTTTTCTTTGCTTGCATTTTCCTAGGAAATTAGAAATAAATCTGTCAACTTCAGCGCTCGTTGGTATCTTATAAGTTACTTTATTCACCGGTCTTACTTTCAAAGACCCGTACATTAGATAGTTCCATTTTCGAGTGCGGAATCGAAAAAGGTACCACTGATCCCATCCTCTTCAACTATCTGAAACAACCTGCTTCATATGTGCAACTTCCATCTAAAACCCCCCGTCCCATTAACCTTAATACTATCATGTCTATTTCTAACATACCTATCTTTTTGCGTCTTGTAAGCATATTAAAAAATATAACAATCCACTATAATCTACATGGCACTATCATATATTGATTGCGATATTTTTTATTTAATTTATTATTACAATTTGTGACGTTTGCTTTGTGTTGTACTTTTAGAACAATGGAGGAAGAAAACTATTAAAAACCATTTCTCACTCTCCTGCAAAATTTCTGTGTAAAACGGAAAAAGGTCATTTATGTATATAAAAAAAAGTTACTTTATGCTCGTTGGGCTCGTTCTCTCTCCGTGAAACTCCCGCGTGATTTTTTATAACACTTGTCTTATTCCATTACTTTTGTTAAGGGGTAGAATTCACCTATCCCACATTAAAAAAGATTGCATTAAAATATTTACTTCCACGGCTTCAGAGAGGTTTTTTTCTAAAACTGGACAATTCCTTTAACAGCAACGCAATCGATGTTTGGGGAACATCTATGGTTTTCATCGAATGTTGACTTCGATGTCAATATCGATGTTTTTCCAATATCGACTATCCCTAATTATTATGTTACTTATAGACTTGACATATTTACTGGCCTGTGACGTCACGATCAGCGCCATTACATAGAGAAGCGTTTTTCGCGCTCTTTTGGCTATTTAAATTTTAACAATTATTTTCACCAAAAATAGAAAAGATTCCAATGAAATATTATGACAGTGTTTTTATAATGTAGCAAACAACGATTTAAAATAGTTTTCAGAAAAGTGTCAAATACCCTATTGGTATAATATTTCGTCTGATGTAAGGCGGACGAAAAGTGGGACAAGACTGACCAAATCGGTTTTCGTTTTTCGTACAAAAGATACATGATCGCCTTTCTAACCTCTTTTCTGATTTGTGGTTTCTACAATGATGATATTGAAGTTACCAATGCTATCATCATCAGAATTCAAAAGAATTACAGCTTCGTTTATTATGTGCTCATGAAAGAGAATGAACTTTGCCACAGTTCAAATTGAAATTGAGAAGAATTTCAGAATGCTTATAATTTGTTATACCTAATACATATTGTTAAATAAATACATGTCGCATCATCTTTACGAAGATCGTTTGATTTAGTTTCTTTTATTTTAATTTTAGTTACTCGATTACTTAATTACTCGAGCGTGATCATCGATACTTTTAATTTTATTAGAATGGTGACACTGACTTTGACAGTTCATTAATAAAAAGCAAGATGCCGCCATTTTGGCACACATTCTGTTTCCGATCGCTGAGGAGTAAAAACTTCCGACGACATCGCGCTCATCCTATTAATATTATAAAGGCGAAAGTTTGTAAGTATGGATGTATGGATGTTTGTTACTCTTTCACGAAAAAACTACTGGACGGATTTGGATAAAACTTTACAGCAATATAGGTTATACATCAGAATAACACATAGGGTACTTTTTACTGGGAAAACTTCTCACTCCCACGGGATACCGACTTCCACGCGGACGAAGTCGCGGGCGTCCACTAGTCTCGTTATATTTTCGTATGAAAAGTGATAAAATGGAACAAATCCACGTTGGTATGGTTGATTGGATGGTCCTCCGATATGGAGGGCTTCTATTAGGGCTTCGTAAAAGCCCCTTCTGACTACCCGCCGACATACATAACATTGATTTCGTTACTTAATTGAAAAATTTTAATGTATACATAGTACAAAACTGTACGTTGAAATCGATTAACTACACGACAGATATTAACGCGGGTTTCATCTATATACAAAGTGATTCAAGAGGGAGATTTTTAGGTATAATACGAGACCTAGGGTGCAAAACCCCTGGCGGAAAGGTAGTTTTTATTAAATCAATGTAATAGTTGAGTACTGGACCACGCTAAGTGGGTATACCCTCCACTAGGTAGACTAATGAATTGATAAAGGTTGCGGGATGTCGCTGGATGCGGGCGGGCAGCGTAGGACCTATAGTCGAGGAGATCTATAGGAGAGGTTTATGCTCAGCAGATGGCATACTACGGCTGATGGTAATGATAACGATGGTGAATAGTTGAGTACCAAAATCAAATCTAGTAGATAGATTTTGGTACTTCTGATTGCCATAAGAATTTCAGAATTAAACTGAATATTTAGCTTTAAGCGCTTACATTTTATTTATTTATTTATTAAGATACAAAACAGGATATAATTAATACAAAGCATAACTTGTTATTTATCTTGCAAAATCCAATTATACCCAATAATATGTATATCTCTTGCATGATTAAAGTGGAGCAGCATTAAAGCTAATGATATTAATTTTAGTCCAAGTTGAACTATGCAAATTGAAAAACAGTGTGATACAGATATGTTAATGTTGAACATTCGACTATTATGAAATTTTTCCTCTTGATTTTTTACGTATTTGCAATGTGTAACTCTTTTCATCACTTTACAATGACATTTTTACCACTCAACCTTATCCTATTAATATAATAAATGTGAAAGTTACTTTGTTTGAATGTTTGGATGTTTGTCCTTCAATCACGCCGAAACTACTGAACGGATTTTGAAGAAATTTGGTATACAGATAGGGCACTTGTGCACTACACTGAATTTTCAAGACCGGCTGTCCGATTTTTTCAGGTCCGATATGTCAGGCCATATA